TATTATAGGACAACATTGGAAGTGTGTTGTATTATACCCTGAGCTCTGAATAATCAGCAACGGTCTTGAACTTTAGCCTAGTCTATTAGCTATCTTCTTGTTTATATTCTGTATAAAATAATGACATATAAACATCTTTCTTAGCAAACTGTGGAGATGAAGAAATGAGCCATTGAAGGAAATGTAGGCCCCAATTCATACCCCTCTTGTCTCTGATTCATGGGTTACATGCGATAGTTCAAGGTGAGTTTTTTCTTTTATAGATTCATAAAAAGGTGATACATTTTCTTGAAACTTGAAAACCCCATTTCTCTATTGGTGTATCTGAAATTACATGCCTAAAAGTCACCCAAAACTGAGCTCGGACTTAGGTCTAATAGGAAAACAATAGGCAGGAAATGCATACTAGTTATTCTATAAACATATCAAGTAATTAATTCTAGAATAAAAACCTTGAAACAGCTCTATCTTATGCCTGTGTTGGCAACATGTGATCTCAATGAAAAGTGTAAAAATGCAGCCTGCCAGATGTTTTGACTACATGATGCATCACATCTTAATGTTTCCTAGGTTGGCAGTGGTAATACTGGAGATTCAGGATTTTAACATTAACAAGTTCTGTTTTAACCTTTTCTTATTCTTTACTTTAAAAAGGTTTTATAGTCAAAACATTCACATGTTGGAATTTTTTCTTTCAAACATGTTTTCAGGAAGAATGTTTATAAACCATAAACAAAATCTAGGGAGAACATATTGTGTTTCTTACAGTAAGTGTATAATGTAAACTGTTGGCCTGTAAGGCTGGAGAATGAGATTTCAGGTTAGTCAAACATCCTGCAGCATTATATTATAATTATGATAATTTTTAAGTGTTAACAGCTCAACATTTCCCATAACAGGTATGATTTGCTTATAAAAATATCAGAAAACACTTCAGAATCCTGCTAGAGCTTGTGTCATTATTTTGAATATCGGCTTAACAATATATGAATGTCCTTCAAGAGAACTGCAGTTAACAGTATTTTAGAAGATAAATTCATTGTGACCATGCTCATTACACTCACAGGAAGACTTTGAGGAAGAAGGGCAGGTGCCATTTGAATTGGGGAGAGGAAGGGAGAAGATAGCAGCTACCCCTGACCATAACAATACAATCAGCTACAGATTTAGGAAGCCAGTCTTGCCTCATTCTTGAAAGATTCTCCTCTGAAAATGCAATACCACTGTGTGTGTGTGTGTGTGTGTGTGTGTGTGCGCGCAGTGTGTTAGTATTTAAATTTGTCGTTGTTAACAAAGAGTTAATAAAGAAATGACAAGATAGAAAATGTGGCATCAGGAGGGGAAATGGATGTGTTAGAGAAGTAGGAGTAAGTACCTATGATAAGTATAATCGATTTTATAGTTTTGTTTAGGGTCTCAATCATGACAAACTGCTATTTTAAATATTAAAAACAAGTTCTATAATCTGACCTTGCATTGGTTTCTAATGTTCATTCTTTCTAGTGAACCCAAATGAATCCCCATTGTCCAGCTATAATGTATTAACAAAATTTATGTTACCAAGCTGTTCTCCTTTGTAGAGACTTTCTTAAGTTTAAGTAAGGTCATAAATAAAGACATAAAACCTTTATGGGTAAAACAAGTAAAATGGTTACCCGTAGAATTATTAATAACTTATAATTTTTGTAATTTAAATTTTCTTTAGTAAACGTCTTGTGAAGTAAAGAATATGTGGAATGATTCCTCAGCTGGCTTGAATAACCAAAAAATTCTGTTCTGAATGCCTATAATAATACCAGTTAAAATTACAACTAAATTTTTTGTGACTTCTGAAATAACTTACTTTTATAACAAAAACATTGCTGGGATGCTTCATTAATGATAAAAAAAATCTTAGCTCAAATTTGAAATGATATTCTTACACATACCATTTGAAAAAATAAAGTTTGGTTAAAGAAATATTCAGAGACACATCATTACTTTGCTCTAATTTTCAGTATTAAGTCATATGCTCATATACAAATAAGCATGGCAATACACAGCATACCAGAGGTATTTGAGGAATCAAGACCACAGGTCACCTATTAGGAATAGACATCAGAACTGATGCCAACATATATTTAATCACCCTCTCCCTCTTGGTCAAAAGGGGAAACAAAGTAAATCTAAACAGTCACTAAAGAAACAATCTTTGCTTAAGTTGCTGGGGTGATAAATTCCCCTTGGAAATAACTGGTGAGGTAATTGGAAAACAGCACAACTCTGGGGCCCTACTCCTAAGAAACACACCTGTGGCATATACTGAGAAACCAAGAAATATATGCTACTCTGTTATGCTCTATTTATCTTTCAGATGTCAACTTTTATCTTCTAATAAACTAGCAGAGTAAACCAGACGTGTTTTCTTAAATGTCTGTGGCTTCTAAAATGAATTCGGATTCTACAGTAAACTGGATGAATTAACCATATGTATACACACTAATAGGATTTATTTATAAAATCATTTAATTTCAAAAACAAAGGCACTACGGGAGTTTTAAATGAGGCTATTTTTAAAGGCTTCCTGTGAACACCTCCCCCTCTCCAGATTGCTTATTTACAAAGCATTTTATTTTAAAATCTCTTGGAAACAGAAAAGAGAAGAATTAAAAGGCACAGCAAATAATTGCAAATATTTTCTGTTTCATTCCTGTTTTAAGGTATCAGCCAAGTAATACCAGTGTTTCAAATGAACTCCAAAGTTGGCAGAAAAGTTATGAAATCTGCTCATCTCCGGTGTAAATTTACCAAATATGCATTCAGACTCTTAACCACAAATATTTGGAAATGTTTGGGCTGTATTTCTTCTCGTGGTTAGAGTCAGGTATACACAAGATGATGGTGCTATTTCAGATAAGGAAAGAGTTTTTAAATATAGCAACATATTGGGGATTTTTGTATAAAGGCTAAATATTATTTGAGAAAGACTGGGGTTTAAAAAAGTTAGAAATTAACTATATTAACAATCAGGTTGTAATAAGCATCTATTTGTGTTGTGGGGTTTTCACTCTCAGATGATCAAATCATTTAGTAGCTACTAAAGCATGAAACCCTAGAAGTTTGATGTTTAACATTAATGGTCACTAATAAATAGGAAAAAAACGTACTGTGTTTTGAAATTTTGGCAAGCATATTGATTACAGTCTTTAGTAATATTTTCAAGTTAAGTTTGGCAGCAAAGATTTGTTGAGTTTTACTGCAAGCCATTATATTTGCTGTTACAGCAGCACACAAGCAGAAATCATTAAGTTGGGATCATATGCAGAATCTTACATTTGATCTATTCTCTTAAAGTGAGATGAAACCCTTAGATATTATAAACAATTCAAATTTCAATAACATCCTCCCTTGAAATATTCAGCAAATAGAGTTAAAATGCTTTGGGGTGCCTGAATTTAGCAGATTTTTGCTTCAATTCTTCATTCACAAACACACATTTTTCAAACAAAAAATAAGGTGGAAAGCTTTTGTAAATCCCTCAATTAGTCAATTCTGAGTTTTGTGTGAATGGACAATTTTCTGAAGATTGAGTCTATGAAAACCTATTTTACTCCGGTGGAGAAACTGTTTAGAGATAATAAAAAAATATATATAAATTGTAAGAATTATTTTTGGGTGAAGATGAAGCATAAGATTATAGTAATAATCCTTGCTGTTTTATTCAGGAATCATTGTTAATTGCCTTTTTTGTTACTAAAATTGCTAATTAATGTAGCTTTAATAAGAAGCTGGCAGATCATATTTATTATACATATTTAGAAATATACTTCAATCACTATTGTCCATTAATAATTTTCAAAGCAGGTGAATGCCATTAATATGGGAAATGCTTTTGGAACTCTGGTAGAGCTGATTTCAAATTCTTTAAAAAACTTAGGAATATGATACAACGCCAATTTCAGAGAAGTAAATCATACTCCAAAAGAATTTCCGCAGAGACTAGGAAATTAAATATTTGGTAATACAGTAAGAATGCAACAACATACATATATTTATCCATTTTTCAGTTGCTCTAAAGACAGAAGCAACATCCTCAGTATTCACACATGTTACACACTGGGGTGAAGGTACCACATATCATAACTATATTTGACCATCTTTGGAATGAAAAGGAACTCCAAGCATCAAACCTGATCACTAAAATATTTAGGAACAGCAAAAAGGGATTCAAGTTCATAGTTTAGAAAGCTGTGTCAGTATTTCATCTCCCCCCCCCCAAAAAAAAAAGCAATTACCTGCTTTTATAAGGAAGAACCAACCATGTGAATGAGACCTGGAGTCAAGGTTAAAATAATCTTGACCCAGAGGGAGAATGTTTGTATTAGAGAGAAAGAGCAGCTCACCTTAGATGAGCATTAATAACCAGAGGCAGCACCTCTCCTGGAAAACATTAGAGCCTCTTGGACATATGTTTGCAATTCATCCTCCCAAGTCATCCTGTGACTATTGGATAGATGACAATGTCCCATCATTGGAAGCAAGAAACGCAGTACCGACCATTTAAAAATATCACTTTCAAAAATGACAGGAAAGTGGCAAAGTCTTCTAATTGTTAAGAAAACCTTTATAGAGGGTAAAGAAAAAGCTTTGTCTTCCTATTATTGTTTGCCCTTCAGTTGACATACATGCTGAGTTGCATCAATAGGATTACAACGGAAACACGGTCATCGCCAGGTTTCCTCTGTTTAAATTCCTTGCTCTTGTTTAAAGAAACAGTCTCAGGCAATGCACAGAAAACAAACTTCCCCAATCGAAGTTCCGAGGTCTCTCCTCCTTTTCTCCCACCCTCAGAAACCTGTCTAGTTTTACTAGATAGCAACCGCCAGCCCTGCCATGGTCACACTGCACCATTCACTTGTTGAATTGTGTCCAGGCAGCACTCAAAAACAATAACTTGATGAGCAGCCTTGCTCTGCCATTAGCCCCCAAGATTTCTTGCGAGTTCTATGGCCATGTCTTACCTGCATGTGTCCCTGGTACATTCTGCTTCTGCTTCTTCAGGGCTCCCTGAGGCCGCCGGATGCTTTCCCCCCCGTGTTTCCTTGCACACCAAAAGAGGGGAGCAGGCGGCGTGCACCCTGGGTTCTCAGGGGGGTGCCTCTGAGGCGGGTCGAAGGTTCCAGGTAGTTGGCCGGCGGCGGCCCCTGGGCAGCGCTGCGGGCTGCCGGGAACTGTTCTCCACTCCGGGTGCTGAAAGCGGCCTCGGCGAGGCGCGCGGAGGAGGCGAGTTGCCGGGCGGCCGCGCTCGCGCACAGGCGCAGGTCCTGCTCGCCCGGCGTCCCTACAACTCACTCCTCCTCCGAACTCTTTCTCGCTTCCTGCCGGGCTGCCTCATGTCTCGCTCACCCTCTCCGCCGCGAGACCCTCCTCCTCCCAGCCCTGACGTGAACGCCCACACCAGCCGCAGCCGCAGCTGCCGAGCGGGGCGCGCGCCGCCCTCCGGGCGCGTCCCTGCCAGGAGGCCGCGGGGCCGGGCGCGCGCGCGCGTCCTCGGCGGGCCCGGGAGCGGCCGGAGGGTGGCGCGCGCCCTCCGCGCGCGGGGTCGGGTGCTCGCGCTCGGCGGCTAAGCGCCTTCTGGAGGGGGTCGCGCGGAGCTTGCAGGTGCCGCGTGGGCTTCCCAGGCAATGCCCGCAGAGCGGAGGGCCGGCTGGGGAAGAGCCGGAGGAAAGAGAACGCATCGTCTCCCGGGGGACCATCAATACCGACTGCCCCCGTCATCCCACAGGCAGAACAGGCTGAGCTTGGGGGTGTCTGAAGAGTTTGCTTCGGTCTGATTTAGCTCTCACAAGTTACCTCCCTGTCACTCGGGGACTGAGGACTCGCCTCTGTCTTTTCACCCCTGCTCCATCGCTGAGCGCTCTTTATTGCAAACCGCGGGTCCGAAGGGCCTCCCAGGATTTGCTTTTCTCCTTTGCACTTTACATCGTCGAACATCTTGTGTATTTCGCATATTTATTTTCTCTCTATACACACTGTTTGTTCCACGAGTTCAGGGATTTGGGGGGAGTGGTCATGGAGAGGGCGAGGAATGTATCTGTAGTTGCACGGATGTGTCACAGCACAGTGCCATGCCTTCTGGCACATGGTGGCACCCTGAAAATATTTGTTGAATGAATGATCTTTACTATATAACATATAGGTAGAGTATCAAGTTGTCTTAAATACATTTCAAGTTGAAGAGACTGGGTAGTTTGATATAGTCAGTACTTCATAATACACATGTATAAACACACACACACACACACACACCATGAGGTGGTGTCAGTGTGCACACCGTGATTACCTAGATTTGTTTGCGAAAAAAAAAAAATTAATCACACCACAGCATGCCTGCCAAATTAGATACAGCATGGCCTAATTCAAATAATGTATAGAGCATGATGGTCTGATCATAAAGTTAAAAGATGAAACAAATTCCCTTGGAATATAAATATATATTCACATATGACTATATGAAAAGAGAGCTGTTGAACAATGGGGATAGTATTCAGAATGTGGGTGGCACTCAATGCGAGGAGGCAGGGGAAAGTGATGGGGAGGCTTTTCATATGAAGGCTAATGATGTCCTGGCTATCGGGCTGCAGAGTGAGTTACTGCCATGTAAAACATTACCATGTAACTGAATAAAACAGAGCCAAGCTTGGACTAATGAGTTGATTAATCCACTTCAATATATCTGAGATCCTAAAACAATCGACTTGCCAAGCAAGCAACCAAACTCAAAATAACTAAGATTTGTAAGCTAAAGATGTGGATCCCTATTAGATTCCAATTGTAGTTGACACTGGACAATTTCTTTTAGCCTCTTTAGACCTCAACTTTTTCTTTTTATTTTTTAAAAAGATTTATTTATTTATGTATACAAGAGCTGAGGTACAGGCCAGAGGTGTGTGTGGGGGTGAGAGGATCCACCAGACAGAGAGGGGAACAGAACAGGCAGACTGACTGAAACACACTGCTGAAGGGAGCAGCAGGTGAACCAGGAGAGGTCTGCTGTGCCATGTGGGTAGCTCCCTGGCTGGGGATTGAACTCATGCCTCAGAGGCTGCAGATAGCTTCATGGGTTGCATCTCAATCCCTTGTGCCACCAGGTAGGCCCAACTTTTTTTTTTTTTTTAAAAAGATTTCATGAGATGAGATTTTATGCACTACCAGGGAGGCCCAGACCTCAACTTTTTCTTGTCTAGACCTTGAATGATAAACTCATTGCTTTACTCTGAAAACTGAAATATGTTGATATAAGCACTGTCAACTGTAAAGTACCATTTAGTAATCATTTTTGTTGTTCTTTATCAGATGGGGTACTGGAATAGAAATCAGGAAGTAGAAGTGCTAGTTCCATCTCAGTACCTCACTACTCTCTTGGGCAAGTGTACTATTTCTTCACTTTTAAAGTAAAGAAAATACCTGCTTAATCTACTGCACAGGGATGCTGAGCACTTATTGCACAAGTGAGTTCTAAATTATAAACCACCATATAGAAGCATGTAAGCAGATTTCCCCCTCCGCTCCTAGTTTCTGAGACTTCAAGCTCTAGAAATTTTAAGGGGGAAAATTATTTACCATAAAACACTAGCCTGTTCATATAAAAACCTTGGGGAAATTCTACTATTTTATTTGAATATGCTAGAAACCTGTAAAATAACATTTGGGTCCCAAATTTTCCTATCCATTACATACTTATTATGATCTAATATCAGATGCAAAGTGATATTAATGATAAAAGTTTTTGGAGCAACATTACAACTACCTAGAGTTGAAGGTAGAACTAAATATATCCTCTTTTTAATCTAAGTAACACGTTTAGTTCCTCCTGATATTCACTAAGAGCTCGGCAATACAAGAGTATCTGTGAAGTATCCCTTTCTTCATTCACTCATTCTTTTATTTTTTAAAAAGATTTATTTTATTTATTTATGCATACAAGAGCTGGGGTGCAGGCCAGAGATGTGGTGGGGGTGGTGAGAGGATTCACCAAAGACAGAGTGGGGAGCAGAACAGGCAGGTTGACTGAAATACACTGCTGAGGGGAGCAGCGGGCGAGTCAGGAGAGGTCTGCCACACCATGTGGGTAGCTCCCTGGCAGGGGATCAAACTCATGCTGCAGTGGCAGCTGATAGCTTCATAGTGTTGAGACTTAATCCCTTGCACAACCAGGGAGGCCCTCATTCACTCATTCTTTCATTCATTCACCATAGTAGTCTAGTATGTAAAGAGTGCTGTCCCAAGTGCAGAAATACATTGATGAATAAGACAGACATGGTTTTTATCTTCATGGAACTTACAGTCCAAATTGTACCATTCCAGAAAGCTTACACAGGTGTACATACCACACCACACCCACCACATGTGGGTTCAAGTGCTAGTTCAAGTGCTAGTTGTCACTGTCAATTTGACCCCCTCTGACCATTCCTCCCACTCTCTTTCACCTAGAATTTTCATTTTTTATGGTATTATTTTCTTTTTAATTGGGGTAACATTGTTTTATAACACTCTATATAATGCAAAGGAACACATTCACACCTCTTCAGATGTAAGTTACCACAACATGCCTGTCACCAAAACACCCACAATCCACCCTAGTCCATTGTGCCCCCTCCCCATTTTTTTTCTCCTACCTCCATCCTCCCACTCTGGTAGCTTCAGTTTTACAGTCAGATTTCTTCCCTAAACTTTTCTTAAAGTAAAAACAAAACAACTGTATAGATGTTCCACAATTTCTCCAGTTCCCTTATCTAAGAGTTCACATGATAACCTCTTCTAGTCAAACATTTCCACCTCTGTTTTGAACTGTAATCCTCCTTATGGTACAAATACTTCATTCAAAGTCTATAAATATGAGCTTTGTGGGTAAACACACTTGAATGATTATTATTTCAAGTGTTAGTATCTTGAGATACTATTGATTCACAGAACCGTCCAGCAATTTATGTATCTCATTTAACTAAGCTAAAAATTGTCATCCAAATCTAGAATGTGAGCTCAAGCAATATGGTATTCTTGGTGCAAAAAAGGAAACTTTTCACGTTCAAGGAGATAGACAACTATAAAACCAATGGAACAAAGCAGGTATGAATGGTATTCTGTTGAATAATAAGAATCTTCTGGTACACACAACCTAAAACTCAATAATAAAATAATTATTTTGTGCATATTTTTTTTTTTTGCAAATTAGGTAATTTTTTTTTTTTTAAAGATTTATTTATTTATTTATACTAGCACTGGGTACAGTCAGAAGCGCGGGAGGGTGAGAGAATTCACCAGAGCCAGAGCAGGGAGCAGAGCAGGCAGAAGGACCGAAGTACTCTGCTGAGGGGAGCAGCGGGCGGCAGGAGAGGTCTGCGTGCCATGTGGGACCCTCCTCCAGTGGCCGGGGAGCAGCCGGGGATCGAACCGGCACCACAGAGGCCGCGGGCAGCTTCGCAACCCAGCGCTCAACCGCTGCGCCACTGGGGAGGCCAAATTAGGTAGTTTTTAAGAGCTCTAGAGAGGAGAAAATGAGTATAACTCTGTATATGCTATGACTGCAGTAGTGGTGAGAAAGCATCTCATTGTAATCTGTTTCCCCCAGAGAATCATTAAGGTAAACTGGCAGGAGACAAACAAACTAACCAGAGAGGCAGCAGTTTGGGAAAGCCTAGGTTCTTTGGAACAAAGGCAAGTGGCAATATCCATGTGTTCTGATGCTAGAAATATTTTAATAAAAATAGAAATCTCTGCAATGTCTACTTGCTTTATTTGATAGTTCAAGGATTTTCTAGGTTTCATATTAATATTTTGAATCATGTAAAAGCAAATTTGAAGACAGATCTGTAATATGTGTCAAATTCAAATAATTACAGCCATCATACAAAGCAAGAGAAGAAAGTCTCCAAGTATACTGCAGAAGGAACAGTTACTAATGAATGTTTTCTAACCAGAACTGCATATGGGAATACACCTTTCTGGCAGTAATGCCACCATCAGCACCGTCTGCCAGGCTAAACCCAACTATTTCATATTATTAATGTATGCATAGTTTCTGAGGAAAATAAAGATAATCCATACTTATTCTTCATTTGCTTTTGTTTTGCAATCTAGAGTGGGCAAGATTTCAGGACCAGAAAGTACTTTTCATCTTAAATTCATTTGAGACCCTTGTTACTCAAAATGTGCTCTGCCAACCAGCAGCATGAGTCTCCTGGGGCCTTATTCGAAATGCAGGTTCCGGGGCGCCATCTATAACCTACTGAATCAGAATCTGCATTTTTAAAAAGATCCGTAAGTGCTTTCATGCACCATAAAATTTATCATCACTGTGGCCTGGAATGTTT